AAAAAAAAAAAAAAAGATACACATACATGAGCAAAACTGCCCTATTTTGCTCATAAAATTAACAGGGTAAAGGTGGGTGCAGTGGTTCATGCATGTAATCCCAACAGTTTGGGTGGGTGGATCGCCTGGTGTCAGGAGTTTGAGACCAGCCTGGCCAACGTGGTAAAACCCTATCTCTACTAGAAATACAAAAAATTAGCTGGGTGTGGTGGTGGGCACCTATAATACCAGCTACTTGGGAGGCTGAGGCAGGTGAATTGCTTGAACCCAAGAGGTGGAGTTACAGTGAGCTCAGATTGTGCCACTGCACATCAGCCTAAGTGAGAGAGTGAGACACCCCTCTCAAATAAATAAATAAAATTAACAGGTGATTATTGTGGTATTACAGAAAATCACACAACAGGAAAAGTGGGGTAACGAGGTTCTTTAGTCATACAGCATTATTATGCAGTAATACTTAATTAAGTTATTTCTATGCCACATTTTCCCACAAAGGATTCAAAACCATCTAGCATAGTATCTCTAACTGGCAGGGAAATGGTAAAAAAATAAAGACAAGGTGAAATGTCTTCCCTTAACAATAAAAATTAAAATTCAACACACCTACTCAGTTTTAGCAAGTAAAAGGTAAGAAGACTAAACAGTAAGCATATTAATGGCCACATTACAAATAATCAATAAGGTAAAAAAAAGCACAGAACCCAAACTCATTCCTCAGTAATTAACTAAATCCATTAACAGGCCTTTGTTTTTACCTACTTAATAATAACTAGGCACATATCCAGGCACCATTACCCACTGAGAAAATAGAAGTTGAAGCTAATGATTTTTAACCTCAACATGTGACCAGGCCTCACTACGCTGCCAAGGTTGGCTTCAATCTCCTGGGCTCAAGGGATCCTTCCATCGTTAGCCTCCCAAGCAGCTGGCGCCACTGCGCATGGCTCATGCCGAAGTCTTTTAAAATGGTGATGTTATTTCATTAAAGTTAAGTTGATTAGAGGTCCTGACCACTATGTTGTCAGGGCATGATTAAAAGCATCCCTGTTCATTCTAAAAAGGACCCCAGGTCAGAAAATAAATTATGTAACCAACCTTAACCAGAGTATGCTGTTTTTAAGTTGAAGGTTTCTTTTTGCAGAATTTTAGCTACTACAGATCTGCCTAAGCTAGGTCAGAAGAACATAAATTAATCTGTTACAGTCTCAGAAATAGAAGGAGCATGATTCTCCTAAAAAGCCATTCTAAGAGGAAAAACATATTTTTCTTTCTTTAAAAACAAACCAGTTATGCAGAACATTGTTATCACCAGGGATATGTAATTTTACACCTAGAAGATTAAAATCATCACCCTTCTAGAAATTTTTCTGTGGAAAAACATTGTTTGGCAAAGAAAACATTGAAATTTACAATTTACATTGAGAATCACAAGTAGACCATTATCTTATGACAAAACTCTACCTATAGATTCTTTTTCTGCTAGTGAAGGATAAGGCAACTTTACCAATTTAGCTTTCATTTGTGACATCTAACTGTAATATGTGATAATTTTAAATAACTAAGAGCAAAAGCAGCTGAAACATAGTGATCTGTCCAGAAATATAGTATCAGGTTCCAAATGGTCCCTAAACAGACAAATTTGTGAGACAAGCTTGGGAAGCAGACCCACTTGGAAGCCAAATTCTGGTTCCATCACTTAGTAGTTTTGCAGCTAAGTTTTGTACTGTTTCTAATCTGTATATGTGAAATATCAGTGAAGATACAGTTCTCTTCCTTCACAGCAGTTTGTAGTTTGCAAATTACTTAACAAACGTACCTACCCCATTAGCATATGATACCTGAAAGGGCAGTACTCTTAGCCAGTATGCCCATAATTGTAGTCTCAGCATCTATCACTATGCTTGGCATGTAGTATATGCTATATAGTAGCTGAAAGAACATGCAAATGTTAAGTAATTTACTTTACACCAATGCAGGTTAATTCTTACCTGCTTATTCTGCAGCAAAAATAATGGTATCAGACACAATCAATTTTTGCTTGACACACTAAAATCTAACCTTATGCCATTTAGACTAATAATATATATAACTGTCATTGTCAAAAGTATTGTAATGTCCAATATTGTATGCGCCAGGGAGGGCATTTCTAGTTCCAATTAATACCTGTTTGACAAATGCAATTAGAAATAAAAAGACTTCCTTGCTATGTAAACACAAATTTAAAACTATCATTTGCAACTGTCTTGATACGTCTACAAGTCCAGTGATTTTATTCAATTATTCTCTTCCTGAAGGTTTTAAGAGTTAATAAATGGATGAAAGTCATCTAAGGTAATACGAATATGCTTTTAACAAATCTCCAACATTCTAATGTATATTTGTTAAGTGTTTCAACCTAATTATGTATTTTCAAGAAATGTATAAAACATACCCATTTTCTTGTAGTATTCTTCCCAAGCCTTAGTATAATCAACCTGTCCAGCTGGGGCTGGATTCTGCTGATCTCCTTGTTCAAGCAAAACAAAAAAAAGAACGAAATTAAAGTTTTTAAAAGGCAATTTTAGGCATTTTCTTCTGATCCTTGGGTGTAGGAGCTGGCAGGTGCCTGCGATGTGACAGTGAGGGTAGGAAGGAGGTACTCTGCAATGCCAAAGATAGAATGTACTGGGGATACAGAGGTGGTGGACAGAGAAGAAAACCAAACTATCTGGATGACTGGTTATGCTGAACATATAAGTAAATGTCTATCAAATAAGGGAATACACTGAGGATACCAGGTTTCTCACCATTTCTAAGTACAAAAAAGGAAAAGGCTTGAAAACCCCAAAACGCTGAAATGTATGTGGTGATATGAACATAGTTTTAAAAAATATATACAGATATCAATGTTTATGTATTTTTTGGTATGTATATGTGAGTATGCATGTATGTAAATATATTTCCTGGCTCTGTTGAAAGAAGCTAGAAGCAATGACACCTCAGTAGCAACAAGCATACTCAGTCTTGCTTCGAACCACCATTCTACTAAAAGGAATCAGAGCTCCTTGAAGCAATCAATGGCTGACTCAAGGGCTGGAGCCCAGAAAGCAAAAAATAACAATCTTACTGTGCCAGACAGTAAAGTGCTTACAAGAATGACAGGTATTTCAAAAGGATATAGGCACCACCCTGAATATACTCCCTGACTGGCCAATTCAGGATAATCGGATTATCAACATTATAAATACTTTAAAAATATAACCTATTGCAAAAACCAGAAATCCACAATGATGCAAAGAATATACCAAATTGATTTACTGATTTGGAGGTCTGTATGATGGTTATATATTTTTGAAGAAGTACCCAACAGGGCATCATGTCTACAGTTTGGTCTTAAATGAATTTCTTTCAGAATTAATTATACTGGATATAATTAGTTTCCTTCAGAACTAATTGTAATGGCTAATTTAAACAAATACACACAGACACAGATATATGATATAGATGGTAACAGAATAAACAAGGGGACAAAACATTAACAGCTGGGCTGTCTGGGTGCTCCTGGAATTGTTCTTACAACTTTTATGAAAGTCTGAATTTTTTTTTTTTGAGACAGTGTTTCACTCTTGTTGCCCAGGCTGGTGTGCAACAGCAAGATCTTGGCTCACCACAACCTCAGCCTCCAAGGTTCAACTGATTCGCCCGAGTAGCTGGGACTACAGGCATGTGCCACCATGCCTGGATAATTTTTTTATTTTTAGTAAAGACAAGGTTTCACCTTGTTAGTCAGGATGGTCTCAATCTCCTGACCTTGTGATCCACCCGCCTCCGGCTCCCAAAGTGCTGGGATTACAGGCGTGAGCCACCACGCCAGGCTGTAAAGTCTGAAATTACTTCCAAGCAACAATTTAAAAAAGGAAAAGTCTGCTTCAATCATAATTAAATGTTAGAAATTTTATGTATTATACAGTGATCTACATCATACACGATTCCAAACACAAGTTTTGACTTTCACATATAGTAAGTTCTTTAGTTACCTTGTCCATTAGTTTGAGTTGTAGTTGGTGCACCTGCAGGGGCTGCTGGTGGTGGCTGTGCTTGCTGTTGGTAATAGTGAGCATAATAAGCAGCCCAAGCTGCTGAATTTGGATCCGTTCCTGCCTTAGCTAGAATTAATAAATGAAAGTTCAAGATTTGCTTGTGAAGTCTGTAATTCTCTCTCTCTCACACACACACACACACACACACACACACACACACACACACACACACCCAGCTCTCTGGCAAATACACAGTCCCCAAAATCAACTAGAACATTTAAAAAAGTAAATTAAAACTTTTAAATTTTCTATTATTTTTGTTGTCACCATCAGCTTTTATTAAAGAAAACCAAGGCTCAGAGATCAAGTGACTTTCCTAGGTTAAAAAACTACTGAGCAGCATAACTGGGATGTGAATAAAGGTCTTTTGGCTCCAAATCCAACGCTCTGTCTCAAACCATCCTGTGCCCTTGTTTTTTTCTAAACTGGTTGGTTTCGCCTCAAGCACAAACAGCTCTATTTGGCAGATGACTAAAGAAAAACATTTCTAGGGGCTAACCTGTATGAGAAAGAAACAATTATTTTAGAACAATAAACTTTGTCCTTATTTTCAATGAAAATATAAAAATCTTAAAAAAAAAAAGGATTAGCCACATTTCATCCTATTTCACATTGAATGTTATCAACTTGATATTATCCTACTTGAAATTCTTGATTCTCTAGAATCTTCAGGATAGTCAAAGCTTAAGTATAGCCTATCATTCAGCATCTTTAACAGTCTGAACCCCCTGGCTTATCCTTTCTATTTCATCCTCATCTCTCCCTATCGTATCTCTTCAACACCCAAGCTCCAGCCACAACACAGTGAGTGTACTTTTCAGAAATCACTATGCCCATGTCTAGGCTTTCAGCTATGTTATATTTCCTCTACACTGGACTGACCCTCAATTATCTCCCACATCAACTGATTTATGAACAGTTTGAGACCTCTCAATCTTCTAGAAACCAGAAATAACTTGATTCTGTCCTTTATACTAGGAATATCATACAATTAGGACTTTTCAATTTTCTACCATGTCTTCATTACAAGGTAATATAATTACAAGGTGTTATTAGGACACCCTAAAAAGCTTTTCTCAATTGCCCAATGTACTGCTTTTCTATGTTCAATGTTTATATATCTCAAGTGTCATTAAATATATATATTTAGGTAGATATATTATATATATGTATATATATTTATGACAGAGTCTCACTCTCTCACCCAGGCTGGAGAGCAGTGGTTCGAACTCAGCTCATTGCAATCTCCACCTCCTGGGCTCAATCAATTCTCTGCCTCAGCTTCCTAAGTAGCTGGGATCACAGGTGCCTGCCACCATGCTCGGCTAATTTTTGTATTTTTAGTAGAGACAGGGTTTCACTATGTTGGCTAGGCTGGTCTCCAAGTCCTGACCTCAGGTGATCCACCCACCTCACCCTCCTAAAGTGCTGGGATTACAGCAACATTAGGTGTGAGCCACAGCACCCAGTCATTATCTGTATATTAATCAAGAAATCTAGGCATTTCACTTGACACAATGCCTGGATAAAGAATTTGAGATAAAACAGACTTTAGGAAGTGATATTTCTACTCCCAAATGTGTAAACCACACAAAAAAACCAGTCTCAGTTATGACTAACTAGTATGTAGTAAGAATTTACTAGATATTCACTCAACCCAAGATTCATTTATCACCTTATAGATAAGAAAACGAAAGCTTAGAGGAGTTCAAAAACTTGCTTGACATTCTCACAATTAGCAAACTGTAGGACTAGGACTGATCTAGGTCTATATGACTCTGAAGTCTAAATTCTTGACCACTACACACAAATCCTTAAGACTTTTTTTGAAAAAAGTTTTAGTTCAGGTAATTATTAAAAGATTACATTATTCTAATACAAGCAATACCTACCGCAGAAACCCAGTAATCCTTTGATAAATCTGAGCTGGGCCAGCCAGCTGGTTTTAGTTAAATGGGTTACTTCTTACCCAAAGACCATGCTGCAACCACATTCACTGACCAGCTTCTACAGTGGTGACTTCACTACTACTCCTAGTGAGAAACTCAACTTGCTATACAGAGACCACTTCCAATTCTTGTTCCCATTATTTTTTCCTCAATCATGCTACCTATCCAATAGTGCTCAAAGACACAATCCTGGCAGATCCAAGTTACACAATATAAATCTGCCCCTTAACCTACTTAAACTCTTGAACCTCATTACTAGCTTACAGATACTATCCCAATTAGCTGATATCAGGGAAAGAAAAGCCCTTTCATTCTCCAAAAATTATTATATTCTGTACCCTGTGAGCCCTTCTATCATAGTGTTGCTTATGCTGGGAGTGCATTCTTTTGCTATAGAACACAATCCCAACTTTGCATACTCATATCCTAGCACAACTCAAGTTGTTCCTTGAATTAATGGAAGTTGTGGTTATTTGGTAACTGCCATGACATCATATTTCACACAGCACCCTTCCTATGAAGTTAACAATCAGGCAATTTCCTTTACATTAATTCCTTCAAGTTTTTTTAGGGATGAACATATGTGTAGAAAGTAAGCCATAATTGAGTATACCTTCCTTGAAACTACTCCAGTGAAAGAGGTCTAAAAAGTAGGTAGCAGGTGGGAAAAAAAGGATCATAAATAAATGTTAATTGGTTTCAAAGAATGACTCTTTGACAAAGATGGAAAGCAAACTACAGGGTATGGAAAAATGCAAGAACAGAACAGGATATGATATATATGCAGAATCCAGATCTGAATATAGAAAATAATTACATGTATTTGAGTTTTAGCGTGCAGTTATTAAACACAGGCCTGATTTTTACTCACATGAAGTTGTCACATGAGGAGTACTAGAAGAGACAGTTTATCTTACTTGACAATTTGGAAGTTTAATGCACAAATACTTAACACTCTGTTAGACTGTAACATATATATATATTTTTAAAGAGATGGGGTCCCATTCTGTTGCCCAGGGGAGTGTAGTGGTGCACCTACAGCTCGCTACAATCTAGTACTTTGAGGCTCAAGCAATCTTCCTATCTCAGCCTTCTGAGCAGCTGGAAGTATAGGTGCGTATCACCCTGCCCAGCTAACTTAAAACAAATGAGATGGATCCTGCCATGTTGCCTAGGCTGGTCTCAAGCCTCAGCCTCAGTGCCCAGCCCCTATCACATAATTTTGTAAGTGTAAAAACTATTTTTTCATAGATAATGCCACAATTAATACACTACACATTTGACATCACTGGTTTCTAAAACCTACTGCACCATACTCTTTCCGGTAGCTTTTAGCTTTTAACATTTTGCTATATCAACTCATAAGAAAGTCAAACGCAAGCAGAAAGAAGTTCCATAAAAGCAAAGATCATATACATCTCAGTCCTCTACACTGAGTTGGCGGCAGTGCCTAACACTGTTGAAAGAGTAGAGTGAAGGTGATGCATACAAATGTAGACAAATACAAAATTTAATAATGTAACAGGAGTGGGAAATAATACAGGTAACACACAAATGATAAGCATCTTTTACCTGGATCAGGAGGAGCCTGCTGCTGCCAGTGTGGATATGCATTTCCCCATCCCTGAGGGGCATATGGGGCTGGGGGACCACTGAAAAGAAAAATCAGTATAAAAATACAGTCCATAAACGAGAATCTTTGGGGAAAAGCCCAGAACTAAACCCAATACTTACTGAGGAGCTGGGCCTGGTGGTCCTGGATTATAAGGTGCAGGGTTGTATGGTCCCATTGGAGTTCCAGGCCCTGGAGGCCCAGGAGGCCCATGGGGGCCTGGGACACCATGGGGCCCATGGGGTACAGGTGGCCCTAAAGGATTTACTGGGCCCTACAGAAAAAGGAAGACATAGGCAAATCAGCAAAACACAGTAGTGGTTAAACAACTCTATGGCCAAATAATCTTCCATTTCTACCCTCTTATATTCACAAACAACAAATTTTAGGTTTTCCCTCCTTTCCTCATTCATTTTTCAAAACCTATTTTATCTGCCATAATAATGAGACATGTAAAATTTACTAAAATCAACGGTAGCAATTAAATACAATTTAAATTAAATTCAAATTAGCAATTAAATTTCCTTTAGCTTGTTTGTGAACAGCAGTAGTTCCCTTTCTTTTTATAATTCTCACTTTTACTATCTCTTTTTCATTTTAATCACATAAATCAGGTCCTTATCTTCAGCTCTTCTCTCTGTATCTACTCACCTAATATGAGCCAACTATCTTGACAATATATATTCCCAAACTGCTTGGGTCTTCTATCAATTGTCTTCTGAACACTTCACTGATAATGTGGCAGCTAGCTGGTTCACTATCAAACTAAAATCCACATCACAACCTTTTTCTGTCACTGGAACCCCATCTAGATCTGTAATTTATATTCTTTTTGGCTTTTCTGGTATCACAAAATTTAATAGCACAAAAAATTCCCTTTTTAATTTATTCAACAAATCAGGGTATTTTACATCCTTATCATGCATGCAGGCCACATCATAATTAATAATGCTTAACCGATTTCTGTTTTGTTAAGCCAACTTGCAAAGACATTACATTTAACTGTCCTAAAATGCTCCGAGTAGTAACTACAACCAGGTGACATGTTGGACAAAATGCTAACACTACATTTCGTTGTCAATTTCTCACTGCAAAATAGGGAAACTAAACTTCATGACCTTTAAAGTTATTTTTATTAACTTGTCTCTTTAAATATCCAATTGCTGTCACCTCTCACTTATTAACCATGACCTATTCTTTCCAAGTAGTAAAAATACCACTGAAAAAGTAGCAACATTTTTTAGGGCTATGTGCCATTCTTTTAAGTGATACACACATGAACATTCATTTAATCCCTACAACTCTATGAAGTAGATACTATTACCCTCATTTTACAGAAGTAAATCAAGGCACAGAAAAGCATGAGTAAACTACAAAGTCACATAGCCAGTAAATGATTCATAGGATTTTAAACTCAGGCAACCCGCCTCCAGAATTCATGCTCTTAACAATCATACCAAATTGCTTCTTTAAAACAAGCTATCTTGTTTCTCCATGAGTCCAACAGAAATGCTGATCCATGCTAATCAAAATCCAAGATGTGCTATGCACTCTTTGCCATGGCATCAACCTCTGTCATTATTCCATAAACACCCCATTTTTTGAACAATTAAAATAACTGTCCAGCCGGGCGCGGTGGCTCAAGCCTGTAATCCCAGCACTTTGGGAGGCCGAGGCGGGTGGATCACGAGGTCAAGAGATCGAGACCATCCTGGTCAACATGGTGAAACCTCGTCTCTACTAAAAATACAAAAAATTAGCTGGGCATGGTGGTGCGTGCCTGTAATCCCAGCTACTCAGGAGGCTGAGGCAGGAGAATTGCCTGAACCCAGGA